CCTCTACTCCTACTTTCACCTCTGGCATATTTTTTTCAGGTCTCTAAGTCATCTCGGAGCCGAATTATGAGGTCTTGTAAATGGCGTTATGAGTCACGAATTTCTGAGGCAGACCCCGCCCACTTTGGTGCATGGTTAGCCCAACAATGGCATTCAACCCTACTCCATACCTCAATACTTATGCACATTTTCCCCGGTCGCCGGAACTTCTAGGAACCGAGTTATGAGAGCGGTGGCAAACTCCGCCCACATCCGGGTGTGCCACGCCCAGCGTTCACATTCAACCTCTACTCCTACTTTCACCTCAGGCATATTTTTTTCAGGTCTCTAAGTCATCTCGGAGCCGAATTATGAGGTCTTGTAAATGGCGTTATGAGTCACGAATTTCTGAGGCAGACCCCGCCCACTTTGGTGCATGGTTAGCCCAACAATGGCATTCAACCCTACTCCATACCTCAATACTTATGCACATTTTCCCCGGTCGCCGGAACTTCTAGGAACCGAGTTATGAGAGCGGTGGCAAACTCCGCCCACATCCGGGTGTGCCACGCCCAGCGTTCACATTCAACCTCTACTCCTACTTTCACCTCTGGCGTATTTTTTTCAGGTCTCTAAGTCATCTCGGAGCCGAATTATGAGGTCTTGTAAATGGCGTTATGAGTCACGAATTTCTGAGGCAGACCCCGCCCACTTTGGTGCATGGTTAGCCCAACAATGGCATTCAACCCTACTCCATACCTCAATACTTATGCACATTTTCCCCGGTCGCCGGAACTTCTAGGAACCGAGTTATGAGAGCGGTGGCAAACTCCGCCCACATCCGGGTGTGCCACGCCCAGCGTTCACATTCAACCTCTACTCCTACTTTCACCTCAGGCATATTTTTTTCAGGTCTCTAAGTCATCTCGGAGCCGAATTATGAGGTCTTGTAAATGGCGTTATGAGTCACGAATTTCTGAGGCAGACCCCGCCCACTTTGGTGCATGGTTAGCCCAACAATGGCATTCAACCCTACTCCATACCTCAATACTTATGCACATTTTCCCCGGTCGCCGGAACTTCTAGGAACCGAGTTATGAGAGCGGTGGCAAACTCCGCCCACATCCGGGTGTGCCACGCCCAGCGTTCACATTCAACCTCTACTCCTACTTTCACCTCTGGCGTATTTTTTTCAGGTCTCTAAGTCATCTCGGAGCCGAATTATGAGGTCTTGTAGGGGACGAAATCGAGCTACGTATCTTTGTGGCAAACCCCGCCCACTTTGGTGCGTGGGTCGCCCACTGATATCAGTCGGCTATCATCTCTTCCCCAACCTTTTTCTACTTTTCTCCCATCTCTGGAACTTATTGGAACCGAGTTATGAAGTACCGTGGCAAACCCCGCCCACTTTGGTGCATGCTCCGCCCGCCAACAACGGTTGACCCCTTTCCCTCTGCCAACCCTCATACGCTTTTTTCCCGGACTCCGGGACTCCTAGGAACCGAGTTATAAGCCTAATTGCAAACTCCGCCCACTTTGATGTAAGCCACGCCCATCCCTGACATTTAGCTTCCCCTCCCCTCCTGACCTCTATCCGTTGTTTTCCGGTCTCTAAGTCATCTCGGAGCCGATTTATGAGCTCTTGTAGAAAATGCTGTCCGCTTCACGACACGCTCCGCCCATTGTGGGCGGGCCTCCGTTCACATCATGCGTGGTGGAAATACCTTAGGCATTGCTCCCCTGCACTAATTTCGTTTCTGGTCTGTAGGCTTCCTCTTAACCGAGTTATGAATATTTTCACTGAGCACCCATTTTCTAGAGAACGCCCCGCCCACCGAGGGTGGGTCTCCTCAGTTCGATCTGGCTTACCAACCCACACCTATGCCCACTTTTGTCCCGGTCTCGAGGCTGTTTTTGTGACTGAATTTGAAATCAACCGATGCACGCCACGCCCACTGTGGGCGGGGCTCCGCTTGGCTGATGTGTGTTTTTTACTTCTAGGGATATGGTATACCCATCCCAAACTTGACCTGGACCCTGTAGGTTGTTGTTCGCTTGATACCGAATTTCGTGACAGACGGACAGACAGACATAGCGCATTATATATAGTAGGGATTTTTATAGCATGATTCAAAACTGATAGTTATTCTCCCACTTACTGGATGGATCATTTTCATATCCTTCGCGGAAGCATTCATATATTGTAGATTCATTGATGAATAAAAACTGAATTAACGAAAAGTGTGTAGCTCGCGTGATGAGCGTGCCACTTGCCACTACACCACTTCCGCTTTCTTCTGTTTAGTTACAAATGTATGTTAGCAGTCAAAAGTATTTTGAGACCGTTTTCGTGCATTTCATCTTTTTTCTTTTGAAAAAGTTTTGGCGATTAGTTCAGGATTCTTCTTGCAATTGTCTTGATCCTCTGCACCGAGAACCTGAAAAGGGCAGCAGAGTCAACCCTGCGTTGCGCAGTTCGCAACGGCACGTTGAGAGATCCTCAACGCACGCTGTATGGGCGGAGACGCAGACGGCTCGAGCATGCGAGTGTGAATGTTCGCGCGAGAGAACGTGTCTAATCGGGCGAAACTGCGCAACGTGGCCGTTGAAAACTGCGCAACGCAGGGTTGACTCTGCTGAAGAGTGGGGGCGGCGCAGCAACTCACCTCTTGAGAGGAACTAGTTAGGTAAGAAAAAACAATGGACAAAAGACCCACGACAGCTCTTGTCCACTACAGCTTCCACCAGGGTCAACCGCCCATTTGCTGCAAAGAGCAACGAGGGGGCCGTATGAGGAACGGGAGGGGTTCGTAAACGAGGAAACCAGCGGTTGGATGCATAGCGAAGCTCATCTGCTGAGGAGTGGAGGGGATGTGCAATGTAGTAGGAAAGAACGATCACGAAAATTTTGTTGGAGGAATAACTTTGACCCCTATATTTCTTTACAAACAGCAGTCATCTAAACCATCAAAGTTAAACTGCTCATTACCGAAGAAGCGCGGTCTGAAAGGAACAAATTACTTATTATTTTGAATGAAAAATTGCTCAACAAAGCCCAGCTTCGGCCCAGTCTTTCGTTAGATTTCTCTTCTCTGGTTTCAGTCAGAACGCCTAACGAGCATGGCAGCACGCTTCGCAGGACCCTACGCTAGTTGTCCATATCAGTGATTTTGCTATAGGATTTCATTTCTATCCTCTTTCTTTCGTAGAGCTGACACAGGTTGACCGTACATGGTGATTTTGTTTGATGTAATCTTCGAGGTTATAGCTAATCCTTTTAGAGAACTTCTGCTATTTATCCTGGTGCACTCTTATTTCTATTCGTAGTGAGAATTTGGAGCACCAAGCTATGGTTTTCTTTGAGCTCCTAAAAATGGCTTCGATGCTCATGGTAGAGCCATCAGGCGCGTATAAAAAGAAAGTCTGGCTTTCACTCGCGGAGGGAAAGGGAGCAACTCAAACCGTAACTCTAATAGAATTACCATACACCGGACAAGTGCTACCATCGTTGCTGGATGGATAAAAAATTCAACTGTAAGGAGACTTCCGAGGGGTGTCCTATGATTTTGCAACGACTACAAAACTAAAAAAATTGTCTAAAAATACGGAAAACTATTCGGATGATCTGGCTACTTGTTTGTATAGGTTTTTTATAGAGGCGGTTCTGATTCTACCAGTTGCGATAGACGGCTTTTTCTAGAAGCCGAGATATTCATATTTTTGGGGGGTGTCCTATGATTTTGCAACGCACTGTAGTTCCTAATCAGCTTTCAAAAAATTGATAATGGAGAAGTTATCAACGTTTGAATGTCGAAAACTCGCGCCTTCTCAAAAATCGGACCACAAACCCCCAAAAACGGAACAACGGGACTATTTTTTGAGAAAGTGATCTTTGGAAAAAGTCAGGTGCTTTTTCGAAAGCGCTAATCTTCTAGTTTCTAATTAGCCTTTGAACATCTGCAAAAAGTTGATTATGAAGGAAGTTATGAACGTTTGAATGTTGAAAACTTTTCTGCACAAAAGAAGGAGCCACGGGGCGATCCTTCAAAGAACTGAACGTTCACGTAAATTTTTAAAATTTTCGGAAAGGAAACAATGTGCAGTTTCTAAATCTCTGTCAATCAATCTAAAGTTTATGAGACCGCTTTTGAAGAAAGGTATAGCCTTTTGAATCAAGAGGTTTGTATTGCAACGTAATTGCTGCAAGGTTTAGTTATTCAGTTTATAAAAGGAAGATTGAGAGTTCGAAAAAAACTTGGTAGGTTTCTGAAAGTAGAAATCTTTGCGATTACTACCATTGGTAGGTTTACGCAAAACATTCAAATTCCCTTTACTGAGTAAAACTTGATGTCGCCTAAATTCGTTTTCCTGAGCGAGAGAGTGCGCGCGGACTTACCACTGTTTACCACCTCTCCATTACGGTGACGGCCCACACACCGATCATGCACCTAAAATACGAAGAAGAACACAATGGCTTATGCATGGGGTGTACAGATACTCTTCGAAAACGAAGCGTCGTAAAAACTTCGGAATCTGCGCTACGCACGGCCGACCCTAGTTTCCACCACGTTTCCTCCAAGGGCGACCTTAGAAAATTTTGAAATTTATTTACAAATGAAATAACAGTGTTTATTGTTCCAGGGGGTGTAGAAGGAAACTCCCCGGAACGTTACCTTGGGGCTGGCCCTAATAACTAAACATGATGAACGCCGCTTTCTAGAAGGAGCACCGTAGTTATCAAAGCATTCTCCAAAGCTTTGCATGCTCAGAATTGTCGTTATGAAGTAGAAAAAGTACATCGAATTACAATATATGTCACATAATCAATGAGAAAAGCAAAGCTGTGGAAAAGCTCTAATGTCTTTTCAAGTGTTCATAGAAAATCACATTATAGACGAGGAACTATGAGTGACGAGCCGACGAAATAACGCTATTGGACTCGTTAACGAGGAAAACCGCGAAATAGCGTTATCCCATTGTTTGGGTTATTCGCGGAATTGCCTCATTTCTGCCCATGTCTCATGGTTGCCACCTGGACGAAACATACGGTAAAATGTCCCTTTTTTCAATTTCAGTCATCATATTTTTAACTAGAAAGCCTCAACCATCAACTGGATAGAGTTCGCAGCTTTATCCTTTATTTTTCTTTTTTTCCGATCATTAGAATTTTTAGGGCACAGCGCTTGACTGTTCTTTTGATACCAAATCAGATCAAACACAAGATAGAGAGTTTGCCCTGAGCAGATCAGAAAATGTAGAACACTTATACAAATATATCCTGTTCCTGGAGCAAGAGTGATTTGTCCGGAATAGCAGATAGTAATAAAGTGTCTTTTATTGTGGAATGAAGTGGAGTAATTGAGATTATGTTGGATAGTACAGCTTCGACGCCTTGTGGTATAGCTTGTAACCGGGATCAACATCGGTCAACGTCAAAAGCCATCCATCTAACATTGATGTCACTAAATCACAGCGCAATGCCGGGTGCCTATCAAAGGAAACGAAATAGCCGATACTGACTGCAATCGTTTCACATTGGGGGGGGGGGGGGTGCTGATTCAATCTTTTTCTTCCATTGACAACATTGAAAACTACGCTACTTCACCCCAGCAATGAAGTGCATATGTACAGGTGGGGGGGGGGCAAAAAAAAAGAGTCACTTTGCCCATGGCGCACATCATCAAATTTTTCGTCGCACAGGATGCCGTTGTTAATGAATGTTTTACGGCAGAATATTCCTTAGGTGTCCCCCCCCCGTAAGCAGAAGCAGGCCCTCCTTCACTGCCCCTCCCGAATATGACGTCATCTGCCGTCACCGTCGAGCTCAACGAGGCTTACCGTAATCGCTCCGGCCTGAAGCTGCTACATAATTTCTTCAATGGATTAACTGAATAGCTTCCCAGAGACACTAGCTGTGACTATGCAAGACCGCTTTTGACCAGCGTTTCAGGGACGTCGTAATGGTCTATGGTACCTCGACGACCTCGTTGAGCTCGTACCGTGAACCATGTTTCCGTGGGAAAATCTTCTGATGTCGTCGGTGTAGAAGGCTGTATGTGTAGAATTTTTGATAGATTAGAATGTGCTCTTCAATATTCAATTGGGCTCATTTGGTTTGGTTTCGCAAAAAGTAATTAATCCTGTTTCGATTGGGGAGAAGTGACTCTTTTTTTCCTGGCCCCACTGTATGTACGTAGAGAGGCGTTTTGGGCAGCATTTCCATGCCAAAGATCAACGGAAACTCGTGAGGCGGAATAGTTAGACCACCACCTTGCAAGGTATTCTGACGATTCTTTTAATGTGGTTTACGAATGCATTCTGTTATTTGGTACTTAACGAAACGATACATGGGTGTTTGATGATTGAAAATAAAGCACGAAAATGGCTAAACCCATCAGGAACTGTCATGCTGGAGGCACAACCATTTTATGTTTTCATGCATTACGGGTGCAAGATAGCGAAAGTCAGGAAACAGGAAAAGGACTGAATAAGTGTGGAGAAAATTGTTCGTTCCTTTTGCCTCACTTCAGAAGCCGCGTGCTTTTCCTACTTTCCATAGCAGCTGCTCCAACTATTATGAGGTACCGCGTGGGCCGCGCGGTCATATCCACTTTTTTCCGAGTCGCTCCATTTTCATCTCTTTTCTGTGCACTATGTGAAGGGTACAATGTCTTCTTCCTAATGAAACCAAATTTCATGCAGTTCTCAAAACTAGTGAAATAACTACATCACCTTACGTCAGTCCTCAAATTGAACTCACTAGGGGCTCTGGCACGTTACATCTAGCGGCAGTCTAACGTATCAGGGAAGCTCTTATGAGCAACAGTTCAACTCTTCAATAAGTTTGGAACCACCACAGATGGAAAATTCGGAGACTCGAAAGTTACAGTTACCACCAGGATAATTATCAGATGCAGAAACTAGGTCTCCCCTTGTCGACTTTCGTACTCCCAAAATGAAAAAATTGATGTGAAAACCCAGCCAGACACTCTAAAGACTCCACATCTGTAGTGGATAGAAAGCCACTCGAGTAGTCTACTTGGGACTTTTTACAGGACCGAGCACCCAAGAATAAAGCAAAAATTCTCTAAAAAGCGATTTTTCGAGTTCGTTGCTTTCGAAGAATTGTTACAATGGAACCTTCCACCTAATAGCTCTAGATTTCTGTATTTTACACCCTGGAGCAAGCGCAAATAAATGCCCCACAAAACTTTGATTCCCTGAAGAAAGCAGAGCAGAAGGCCTGGAAACATTTTGACACGCCTCAGTTGCGTGCCACCGCACGCGCCATCCCCTTCATCTGAAGGCTCGTGTAAACGGGGCAGGTGGCAGATCTCAATTCTATTCTGGAATTACTTTGAGATAAGAGTTACAAACACTTCCCTGAAGTTGGTTTGTTCCATCAAGCTACTATGCGTTTTTAACGACACAATGTCTTGGTCCTCATAATTTTGGACCACCCTGTAGCAATGTTTGAACCATATATCATTTCCCTTTGACTTTAAGAAAAAACGTTGTGGTTTGGAGGTGATCCCATTTTTGAATTTTTTTGCAGTTCCTTCCTTGCTACTTGCACTTGTCAATTCATGTCGACGAAACAACAGCGGAAAATAGCATTCGCTTCCCCGAAAATCTTCACTTGGATCATCCATCGCTTGAGCAGATCAGTATAAAACGTGTGAAGAGTGTCGAGAAAGGGTGTAAGTGCTTAAAGTTTCTGATATTTCAAAAAATCTACGTTTCAAATATTTGAAAGGGTCACAAACCAAAAACTCTTATCTATTGACGACGTTGGTTCTTATTTAAAACAGTTATGAAATCCTTGCGCAAGTGCATCTGCACGTCTCTAGGGTCCTGTACGAGGGTTACGATATCTCGCTGGAATGTTTGAGCGACAGCAGTATTGACTGTATCACCTCCACCGTACCTGTAGCACAGCGGAACATTGCAATTTTTCCAACGCTCTTCTTGCATCAGTCCAATCGGTTGGCTGGCAGCATTTCCTGGCCAGCATTGTTCCCATTCGTCCACGACACAGGCTAGAGTGCTTCAGTGGATTTTTCTCGTTCGAGCGATACGACGCATTCAATTTCTTTAGTGCATAATTTTCGTAAAAAGCCTAACCATCACCGGCAGTCAACCTAATATTCAGTAGAAAAACATAATGAAACACTCATGGTGAAGCAGAAGGATCATGTGACTATGTTTGTTTATTCCTCATGCCATATACTTGGGCGATAATAAAAAACCTATTTTCAGGCGTTTTCCCAAGTATGGGCCTAATCTTTATCCGTGGACAGCTGTTCGATAAGCACATTGAGATCTTGGGCGAAGCGGATTACGGAGAAAATTCAGGTCCAGTCATGCTTCAATTTCAAAAATGTCAGCGTTCAACTTTGAAACGAAGAGTATGCTTGGTTGATGACGGCTAATTTTACAACTCTCATTCCTGAGAAACAAATAGAAGAAGCATCACTTGTGATATTACCAGCAGTGTGCTCTAGCACTGGCACCTTCATTCTGTGATTTTTTCAACCGATGTTGGTGTATTATATCGATCTGATACTTTTAGTATAGGGAACCGAAATAAAAGATTACAGCCTCTATTTCGAAATTATAAATGGAAAATAAGCTTGCCTAAACACCGAGTCCCTCGCTTTGGCAATTGTGAATTTTCCGCTGGAAAAGGAGAGCTAAATATTGTACTCGATTATTTAACACATTCACGACGGCGCCCCTTTTCCACTTTTCGGTCGCGTGGGACGGACGCGATTTTGTGGGCGCCGCCGCCTCACCACACACCGCAGATTTTGTTTTGTAAATGAACAAAAACATGAATGTCACAAAATAATTTCTGCAATGTCCAATGCGTAAAGATTATCTAAACATATAACAGTAGGATTTCGATCAGAACGACAAATAGTGGTTACGAAAAGAGAGCATTTATTCACTTTCCCCGTGAAGGAATTTAAAAGCATTTTACACTCGATTACGAGGTTTGCCCACCTATCTGTCCATTCCTAGCGCCTGGCAAGCGATTATCAGCTGGCAGCCCATATGGGCTGCCATCGTCCCAGGAGCACATGCTGTTGGCAGCCCATATGGGCGGCCATTGGCGTGTGTTAACCATGATTTCCTTTTTTGCACCCCATCTATCACTAGGTAAAGGAACACCTTGCTTACACCTTCCAAAGGAATTGCTTCACACTTCTTTGTTTGAGGCATTTTATTTACCAGTTTGGCGGCGCACGCATTCGCGTGCATCACACGGGACTGCAGTGAGTAAAACAGAGCCATCCACTTTTGTAACGCTTCGTGGCAAATTTCACCCACCTCGCTGCGCGCTCCACCCACCAAAACCACAACATTACCTCCCCTCCCTTTACAAACTCAATCCACTTTTTTTCCCGGTCTCCAGGACTTGAAACCGAGTTATGAATTCTCGTCGCAAACTCCTGCACATCATGCCCGCCATTGATAGTCAATCTCCCATCCATCGCCGACCACTATCACCTTTTCTCCTGTCTCCGAGACTCCTTGGAACCAAATTACGAAGTCTTGCGGCGAACCCCGCCCACTTTGGTGCACGTCCCACCCACCAAGCAGTTGACCTCCCTTCCGTTGACAAACTCAGTCACTTTTTCCCGGTCTCCAGGACTTCTTGGAACCGAGTTATGAATTTTCGTCGCAAACTCCGCCCACTTTGGTCATGCCCCGCCCACCATTGACATTTACCTCCACTCCTCCTCCACCTCTATCCACCTTTTTCCGGCTCACTAAGACTTCTCCGGACCCGAATTATGAGGACTTGTAGAAAACGCTGTACACTTCAGAGCACGCTCCGCCCATTGTGGGCGGGCCTCCGCCCACGTCATGTATGCTGGGAACACCTTAGACATTGCTCCCCTACACCAATTGTTTTCTGCTCTGTAGGCTTTCTCCCAACCGAGTTATGAAATTTTTCATAAAGCACTGCTTTTTCGGAGAACGCCCCGCCCACCGGGGGTGGGTCTCGAAGTAATGTCGGATTGTGAGTAATCGAATGGCACAGCGACCTTACCTACGTTTTTTCTCCAGTTTCGAGCCTGTTTTGGTACAGTGAAAATGTCACTGAAATGTCACTGAAATCCTGTTCTTCAGTATCACTCATTTCGATGCACGCCACGCCCATTGTGGGCGGGGCTCCGCTTAGCTGATGTATGTTTTGTACTTCTCGAGACCTGGCCACCCATCCCACACTTGACCCGGTCCTCCAGGCGGATCCAAGGAGCTAGGGATTTTTGTGACAGACAGACACCGTGACACACACACGGTAGCGCATTTTATATACAGGGGGCCAAAAAAAAAGAGTCACTCCTACTCACATTCAAAACAGAATTAATTACACTTTGCCAAAACCAAACCGAATGAGCTCAATTGCATATTGAAGAGCACATTCTATTCTATCAAAAACATTGCATAGTGGCCTTCTACACCGACGACACCAGAAGATTTTCCCACGGAAACATGGTTCGCGGTACGAGCTCAACGGGGTCGTCGAGAAACCATAGATGATTACGACGTCTCTGAAACGCTGGTCAAAAGCCATTTTGCATAGTCAGAGCTAGTGTCTCCTAAGAAGTCATTCACCAGTTATTCGATTGAAGAATTTATGTAGCAGCTTCAGAATGGAGCGATTATTGTAGGCCTCCTTAAGCTCGACGGTGATGACAGATGACGTCATATTCTGGAGACGGTGAACGCAGCGAAGGTGGGCCTGATTCTGCTTATGGGGGACATCTAAGGAATAATTTGCCGTATAACTCCCAATAACAGCGGCATCCTTTGCGACGAAAAGTTTGATGATGCGCCATAGGCAAAGTGACTCTTTTTTTTGGCCCCCTGTATAGGGATTTTATTCCATTAGGAAGGTAGGAGAAGGTATCCCCGTTATCGATGTGGAGGTTATCGATTTTGCATGTATTGAACACAACCTGCGTAACGCTAGTAAAAGAAAGTGTTGGGTTGAGCGAAAGTTATCCGGTTCTTTTGTTTTGCCTAATCATTCTATTTATTTAATTTGAGTTGGTATTATTTATTTATTGAGCGTAGAGGGTGAGTGCGGCCAGCGGTGGGACTAAGCGTACGCTAACAAAAAAGCCAGCTGAGGGGCGATGAACCCCCAAAAGTCCAATGAAGTGAATGATTTTAAAGATATGTGAAAAAAAAACAAAACATTGAAACAATTGTGGAATTAAAAAAGGTCTTAAACATAAAAAAAAAAACTATGGCAGATATGAGCAATCAGTTCAAGAGCGCACAGGAATCCTCCAGAAGCATTTTTTTGGCCAAATTTCTAAATGAGTTCAGAGAAATGTGCAAGTTGCCGTCACGAATTATTTTAAAAGATTATGACACTTCTGAAAGCGCGCAATCTCTTGTACATTTTGATGTACAACACTTGTGTATTTGCTTCACTCTGGAGCTTACACGAGAGCAAAAAAGATGCACATGCTACATGAGTACAAGTTGAGCTTGAAAGCGAATGCTTCTGGAATCAATGAAGCCTGGGTGGCACGCTTGCAAAGAGGACTGCTCGCGAGGTTCGTTTATTGTTGTTTCGTTTGGTTTTGTTGATAAACTTATGAGTGGAACGAAAGCGGCGGATAATTTTTGCTCAACCTAATAAATTAATAGAATGAAGTGAATTGTTCAAGCCTCGAATTGCGAACGTAGATGTATCTCCAGTGAAAAGATCGAAGAAGCTGGCCTTATAGTCAGCGTTTTTTCTCAATCTTTCTCATTCATCGGACAACATAAGACGAAAAATTCCAAACAACTTCACTAAAGCTTGAAGATCGGTGTCGCTGTACGAGCTTTCTGTATTTGAGAGAATAGGTTTCTTGAGAAACCCTGCTGATTTGAAGAGCGTTCCTCCACAAGCTCTTACCTCAAATATTTGAGCCGTTCAAGGACCGAATTAAATTTTTTGTCTTCGACACCGCCCATTTCGCGCAAGTTCAACCCACTGTGGGCGGGATTCCCTCTATTGTTTTGTGCTTTGTTTTATATTTCTTGGCCCATGCTCCCTCATCCAAAATTTGACCAGAGCTCGTCAGGTGGTTTCTCAGGTCATGTTGAATATTAGGACAAACAGGCTGACCAACAGAAAACTGACGAAGCGGATTACAGTAGTGTTATAGTAGTGCAAGTGGGATTCTCTGTAGATTACGTACTCATACAGTGATTAGTCCATTGTTTGTTTATTCCTTAACGTAGTAAATACAGGTATACGCGTGTTACATTCTTTCATGTTCTACAATACGATGATTCAGGTTTTTTCGAATGTGTACAAATGATACGGCAGCAGTGTGATACTCCAGAATGTAGGACCAACAACACAAATCAAGGAATCAGTAGTGATGGTGAGCTACTTACATGCATAATATGATACCACTTTGATTTCGCGTACCAGCTTCATCGCACGGGGCCTCAGCAAGTCGGTGTGGGACGATGGAGTTTTTGATTTTACTATGCCCGCCCAGGGGCACACCCTGCACCATAGTATTAGCTCTTCATCTTTTCTAGCTCCGATCCACTTTTTCCTCGCCTCCAGGACGTCCTGAAAGCATTGGTTTGGTTGTTTACTACAGCAAACATCACCCAATAACGGTCCCACTGTGCTTAATCTCCGTCTGTCCAAGACACGCCTAGGCAGCTACGCCACCTCCCATCTCTGGCATTTCTTCCGCTTTCCGCATTCCCAGAATTCTGCACTTGAACTTTGAAAGCAGCAAAGATATTTTGAAGTAGAAAGGGAACATGAAGTCGCCCTGTGATTTTGCAACTTCGAAGACCGTTCTTAAAGGAATTGAAGGGGGTATTATGGCGATTGAAACTGAGTATAGAGATGCGAAGTGGAACGACAGTGGAGAAAAAACTGAGAAAAACCGTCGACAAGGCCGTTAAAACCCTCTTTCCCACTAGCAGTGAAGGAGGCTGGCTTGGGGAAAGAGGCACGTACAAACAAGTTTTCTGGAGATGTCAGTCGTTCTATCGGTTGATACGGCAATCAATCCAGCTAATTTCACGTTATATATATATATGTAATATAATTTATATATGTATATCGTCATATATCTAACCTGATTTCACACGTTATGCCAGCCACGCACCACTTCCGGAGGTGGGCGGTCCTGGATTGACCAGGCGGCCCTGGATTGAAACCGAACGCGCCGGGGCCTTAACGGGTTTTTCAAGGTGGGAAGTTGCTGCAATGTGTGCAGCTACCCACATACAACCTCCAGGCACGGGAAATTACTTCTCTAGCGTGCCTGAGCCCGACCTTTGCTTTTAATGATGGGTCGATGAGCAAAATCTTTTTAGCGATTTCATAGTAGCTTGATCGACAACAATTTAGATCTCTTACAGCTTTTGAATTTTAACAGTTCGT